AGGAAATTTTAAATTCCTTCGACACTCGCGAGGTGCCGCTAATCGATCCCGAACTAGACGGGGCGTTATGGTAATTAATTTATAAATTAAATTATTTCAATATTTATTTTAAATTATATTATTAGTTAATATTAATAAATTGTTATTATAATTAGGTTCGGGGTTAACGATAAAGATTTGAGGAAAAAATTTACAGCAATAATAACGTCAAATTTTCCTCAACTCTACTACTGTTGGACGGTGGTACCGGACAACATCAAACGTTCTTGGTGGCATTCGTTCATCGTAAGTTATATTTTTAAAATTTTATTTAAATAAAATAAATAATCACTAACTCTAATTTCTTTTAAAGCAATCTTTTCGGTGGAAAAAAAAGCACACCGATAAAGTTTACAAAGAGTTCAACCAGCTGGGTATGCAGCGGTTGAAACAAATGATGAACAATGCCAAACGTCGTCATCAGCTGCATGGACTGCCACCGGAATGGGCAACAAATGACTTGTACCAGCAGCTTCTTTCGCATTGGAACTCAGACCATTTCAAGAACAAGAGTTCCAAGGCGAAACAAAGTCGTCTGTCCCAAAAATTCGAGGGTGATGGGCCTCATCGTCATACCTCCGGTGCTAAATCATTCAAGAAGAGGCAAAAAGAGATGGTATTTACTTAAACTTTAATTTAATTTTTAATTAGTTTTTTAATATTAGATTTTTTATTATGTTAATATATATATATAGGAGAAAGAAATGGGGAGAACGCCATCAATCGTAGAGTTGGTCGCTCGGACTCACAAAAAGTCTGATGGGACATATGTCGATCCCCGTGCGGAACGAGTGGTAAGCACGGTAACTCAACGACTCACCCAACTCTCGCAAAATGTTGGCGATTCAGCGGGTTCTTCATCCGGTCTCTCTGCATCGGACCAAGATCGTTGTTATGTGGAGGTAAAACATAATTTAAATATTATATTTTAATATTTTATTTCAATTTAAAATATTTTTTTTATTTTTCAGTCGATCTCTCCAAATAAGGACCGCATCTATGGATTAGGAGGATTGCAACGAGATTTGTTCGATGATTTCGGTGCAGCAATTCCTCCTGGCATGCAGAGTGATCTCGAACAACAACGACGGATCGAGACACTCGAGCAACAACTTGCGGCGACGAGGCAACAAGTGACTAACCTCGAACAAATCGTTGAGCTTATGCGGGGTGATCGACCACTCCACAATACGCCGCCAAGCTCGGGAGCAGAAACGACGGCACGTAATCTCGGGACTAGCGAAGACGAAGAAACCCGTAGTGCCAATTAATTATTATTAGTGAAACTATTTTATATTTTTGTAATATTCGAACAATTGTTTTTTTAATATTTTAATTTTATTTTGGTTTTATTATATATATATATATTTATTTATATATATTAATATATATTTATTAATATATAATATATATAAATATAAATAAAAAAATAAAATAAATATTTAAAAATAAAATAAATATTTTATTTATTTTATTTTTAAATATTTATTTTATTTTTTTATTTATTTTTTTGTGTTTTCCAACGGTTATTCCAACGGATCGCCGTTGGAAATAATTTTAAATTCCAACGGACGACCGTTGGAAATAATTTTAAATTCCAACGGACTACCGTTGTAAATACCGTTGTAACATTTCGACGGCGTTTCCAACGGATATTCTAACGGATATCCGTGGCAAATACCGTTGTAAATCCGTTGGAAAATTTCTAACGGATATTCTAACGGTCCCGTCGGAAAATAGCCACGGATGTCCGTTGGAATTTCCGTTGATATATCCCGACGAACAAATCCGTTGGAATTCCGTTGAAAATATACCACGGAAAAACCGTTGGAAATCCGTTGAAATATTCCAACGGATGAGGGCGTTGGAATTCCGTTTGGAATTTGCCACGGAATTCCAACGGACACCGATTTCTAACGACGATATTCCAACGGATATATCCGTTGGAAATCCGTTGGAAAAGTTGAATTCCAACGGATTTTCGACCCTTTCCAACGGATTTGCCGGTTGGAATTTGAGGTTTTTTTTGTAGTGTTATTTGTCATTTAATAAAAACATTTTCTCTCTTTTTATAATAACCATTTTTCTTTCTAATTTTTATTTTCTAATATTGTATGATTATTGAGTATATAAAAAAAGTATCTACTATATCCTTATTAAAAAAAAGCGTTTACGTGTGTATATATATATACATAGATGTATATATACATTTTGTTCAATTTATGTATAAGATTGTGTTCACCTTATGTTGGTTTATAATTAAAAAATAAAATAAAATTATAATCATAATCGTGGCTAAAATAAAAATTTGTTGGTATTTAATACCAATATATGCATACTCCACCTTTTAAGTAGTTAATGAGTTTTTAATGTTTTTCATTATATTTTCCGTTATTTTTTCATTCATCCACTAATGCACTAATGCACTAATGGAGGATTCCCACTAATCCACTGCTGCTGGCGAGTTATTACATTCAATTATTAAATTAAAATGTGATTAACATTTGATTAAATGTCTACATTAATGTGGAGGTTACCGTCTTAACAATAACACTAACGCCCTTTGAAATAACTATCCAACTAATAGATTATTGAGCAATTAATTTTTTTTATTTCACAAAGTTTCCAAGAGTCTATGAAGGATTGAAAGCTCCACTTTATTACAAATCTCCATTATTATATATAGATGTTGAGTGGGCCCTATATTTAAGAAACATTTGTCACATCCGCTTTATTACAAATCTCCACTATTACAAATCTCCAACTGTGTTGTCATTGGATTCCTCTTTGAAAAAGTTGAACACTCAAAGAGGCGGAAAACTAATCAGTTCTATTCACTTGAGAAAGATAGTCAAGTACAACTCACTTTTTGTTGTAAGAATCGTACTAACTACACACACCCGAAACTCCCCCTGAGTTTCTTCCCCTCTCACAATGAATTCTACTGATAAAAAAACCTCACAACATAAATCACTCACCACAGAAAGGAGATTTGCCCAATCAGTCTCCCCCTCAGACTCGCACTCACCAAGGAATGAGAAATCACTCACTTAATGAAATAGACTCAGAAATTATGTTCTTTCTCTCTACCAAGCTGATATACACTTGTCCCTCTATTTAAACTCTTCCGGTTCGTCTTTAGATCTCCACAAAGTGATTTGATCGACTTCTACTTGATTCTTGCTGATCTCGAGTCTATCTTCAAGATCTCGCCTTATCTCTTGTTATTAACTCTATCTCTTCAGCCTTGGATTTTATCTCTTCGGTCTTTGACTCTATCTGAATCTCGTCAGTTGTACCTCAGATTTGTTCGAGGTGATCTTTTCCGGATTCTTCTCCTGTAATCTCTCATAAGTTGTTGAATCTGCAACAACCTTTTAACAACCAAAAACAACACGTGCAAATACTTGCACTAACAATCTCCCCCTTTTTGGTTATTTCATACCATGCACACAAACACAAATCCTTCAACTGAAATCATCAAGGTCCAAAACAACAAAACACCAAGAGCAGAGTTATCACACAAACCCACATAAGCAGACAGAGTCATCAAACATAGAAGTTCAGATCAAACATAGAAGTTAGAAACGAAGAGATGAGTCATCATCCGAAGGACTCCTGGCTTTCCTTGTCTTGCTGCTCGTTCCTGACTTCCGGGATGTTTCGACCTTCTTAGGGATCGGCTTAGGCGTCGGCTTAGGCATCTCAGAATCCTCTTCTTCGTCCTCCTCATCCGAGTCTTCTTCTTCTGAGTCGAGATTTCCTTCTGCTTCCTCAAGTTCTCCCCCTGTGGGCATGAATGAAATAATCATAAACAATAATATCGAGGTGAGGAGTACCTGAATGAATAATGAACACATTACTCAGAGTTGCTTCAACATATTCGTGGACTGTTGCTCGGATTTTCTGACAATGTGTTGCCTGCTTCCTTAGTCCGAGCTCCATCTTTATCAACGCTTTTTCTGCATCTTTGAGGGTCTCCAGCATCTTCTTGTAGTCCTTCTTTCCTTTACCCTTTTTCCTTTTGATTCTTGTCTCAACCACCAAGGGTTTCTGAATTACTTCAGCGCTTTCCTTTGGGTCAATGAGTTCCGGGCACTGCTTGGTAAGGATGCTCTGAATTAGGCAAGGATAAGGTAATCTGAACCTTGCTCTGAAGTTCAGTGCTCTTTCCAGAATATGATCGAAGATCATGTTTCCATAGTTGATTTTTATCCCTTTCTTTACACAGAAGATGAGTACTGCTAGCCTCTTGTGGATCAGACTTGATCGTTGGGTTGGTAACCAGTTAGCTCTGGCTATTTTGAACTAGGGATGTCAAAACGAGTCGAGCTCGCGAGCCGGCTCGAGGTTGGCTCCTTTTTTACCGAGCCGAGCCAAGAATATCTGAACCCAAATAAAAATGGGCTGAGTGAGCCAGCTCGCCACGAGCCGAGCCCAAACGAGCTAGCTCGACTGGCTCGCGAGCTGGCTCAGGAGCTGGAATAAAAAAAAATTATGTTAAAATTTGAAAGTGTTGATATTGTTGGTATGATATTTTGATTTAGAGATAATTTTTTATGTATAGATTCGGATCTGAAGATGGTTTTTTGTACATGGATTAAGATCTAATTGTATATGGATGGATTAAGATCTGAAAATGGTTTTATGTACATGGATGGATTATGATTTTTTGTATATGAATTGTGATTGTGAATATAAGTATGATTTGGATGTATTGGTATGTTCTTTTTTTATGTTGATATATCATTTGGATATGATTTTATATAATTTGATATGATTTTTTTTAGGTATTTAGAAAAATATGAGCCGGCTCGCGAGCCGGCTCGCGAGCTAAGCGACTTGGGCTGAGCCAGGAATTTTCTAGCCCAAATAAAAATGAGCTGGCTCAAAACGAGTTGGTCCGAGCTGGTCCGAACCGGCTCGTTTGACATCCCTATTTTGAACAGTACTGAAGCCTCAAAGTTTAGCTCCACTGGGGCTATTTCTCCTTTCCTCTTTTCATCAAAGGTGTCAGTGAGAGCTATCTCCAGCTCTTTCTGGTCAATCTCCCTGTCCAGCTCATCCATGATAGGCACAACTGAGTTCTTCAAGCCCAAAAACTTGTTGATTACAGCTGGAGAAAAGTGCAGTATCTTCCCTCTTATGTACACCCGATGGTACATTGGATCTCCAGCCTTCACAATCTTCTTCGTGATGTTTGCATAAAATTCTTTGATCAGAATTTTGCTGTGAGGGCATGCATAGCTGACTGTCTCTTCTAGATTCAGACGTTCTAGGATGTCCCATATCCCTTGCTCCTTGAGATTGCCTTCACAATCTTCTTCGTGATGTTTGCATAAAATTCTTTGATCAGAATTTTGCTGTGAGGGCATGCATAGCTGACTGTCTCTTCTAGATTCAGACGTTCTAGGATGTCCCATATCCCTTGCTCCTTGAGATTGCTGACATTCACGTTTCTCTCCACAATCGTGTTGAGATTCTTCATGTCATTGAACCTTTGTTCAGATTTCTCATCAACAAAGTGATGAGACATGCACAGGCTCGCCAGTAGTTCATCATCTTCGGACCCAGACGGAGAACTGGGTATCTCACTCTCTTCATGAACCTTTCTCTTCCCTTTTAGTT